CCGGCAACTAAAAAATTTAGTCGGGGAAACTTAAAACCTGACTTTTGGCGACTAAAAATTCACTTTTGGCGACTAAAATTTAGTCGCCAAATGTGTTTTTTCTTGTAGTGACTTTAAGAATCAAAGTGCGAAAATATTTTTTAAAAATTAAAGTGAAAAATAACTTAGGCTCTGTTTGTTTGTATTCTCAAATCAATTTTCTACGTGTGTTTTGGAGCATGATGTTTGGTTACGTTTTCAAATCAATTTTCTACACTCTCTGCAGAGAACTCTGTGCACACAGGCGTGTTTTCTGACCAAAGGAAGACCACCCGGATGTCCACCCGGTAGACCACCCGGATGTCCACCCGGATGTCCGGCTGATTTCCAGATTTTTTTTTTTTTTTTTGCAATTGATTTACATAATCGGGACAAATATTTTCTGAAAATTTTTAAATTTTTTATGTGCTTTAAAATAATTTTGAATTGTATATTTAGTTATGAGTTGTAAATTTTTGTATCACATATCAAATGTCACATCAATAATTCCCCACTCAAATCAAACCTCTTTTCCAAAACTATTTTCAAAACTCTTTACCAAACAAATTTTCTACACTCAAATCATAATTCCACAACACACAAACTCAAAATACAACTCATACTCTCAAATCACATTTACAAAACTCTACCAAACGCTACCTTATACTTTAGGGGTAAAAGTGTATTTACCCTAATTTTTTTTTTACTCCAATGCTCTACTTACCATTTATTTTAACTATTTATAATTATGGAAAATTATTATTTGATTTGAGAGGGTAATTTGTGTAGATAAATTGGGCGGAACTAGATGAAATCCTCTTTGGAAGTTGGGTCACGCAATGGGCATAGATAAGAGCTGGTGTAGTTCAATCTTGGGTTAAAAGCAGACACTAGGCTGGTTAGAGATGTGTGCTAGGTCCTGGAGCTAGCTTTAGCGGACCGAGGTGTTGTCAATTAAGAGGGCCAAGCTATGTGTAGCTCAGCAGGGTGCCATCTGTAGCCAAGGTTATCACGACTTTGCCAAGGGAAGTACAAAGCCGATATAACTAGGTTGACCGCAATGACAGCCTAGCGAAAGAGTTTGAACCATCTCATTTAGTTGGTAGTGAGAAGGGTATTCTAAGGATAAACATTATTCTTTAAGATTGTAATCCTAGGAGGATTTTGCTAGGGAGAGTTAGAGTTCTAATAGGATTGTGCCAGGTGGAATCTATAAAAGCTCATGACAGAACTTATGAACAGGTATTACAATTCATACTCTCAAATTCACAGAGCGTTTGTGCCTATTGTCTATTTGCTGACTTCGGCATCGGAGGGGTTTCCGGCACACTCTCGTTGGTTAGCTTACATGGCGGTATTTGTCGCTCTCTCTCATGACAATCTCATAAGAAGAAAGACGAGTTTCACAAGTGAAGATGAGCTTCTCTGTTGATCTGAAACCCATATTCACAAGTTTCATGGTGGTCTCTTTCTCTCTCTCTTGATCTATCAAACTTTAAGAAATTTCCTTATTCGAACCTGTGCTCTTGGATAAATTTTGGCCCTGTGTTACCAAACAAATGACTGATGGATAAATTCTGTTTTATCTTAAAGTTACTTTTAATTAAGTTTCGATTTGAATCTATGTCTTGGGTGATTTTAGACCTTCAAGAACATGAACTTAGGTAACATTTAAGAGTAACGGTGAGTAGTGCACTTTAGTTTGAGGTTACTTAGTTCTATTCTTTAGTATTTTTAAATTAGTAGTGACATGTAGTTTACATACTTGGTTCAGGGCACTAGTTGGACTTTTATACTCTATTCGAGGATTACATTATTCCGTTTCCAGGTGAATAGTTTCATGGTACATATTTTTATAAATGTTCTCATACCCTAAACTGTTGGAAAATTTAATTGTTGTTTCAGGACTAAACTGTTTTGATAAATTATTATATTATCAATGGAATTAAATTATTTCTGAAACATGTGTGAACTTGATATACTGTAAACTATTTGTTTTGGTCTCATGTTTATAATGGTGAACTACCATGTTTGGTGAAACTGATGTGTATTGATTATTGGGATCATCTGTGTATTTAGTCCAGAAAAATTATTCCACTGTATGTAGTGACTCTGACCACTAAGGAACAGATCTGAGTAGAGCCGTGATGACTCTAGTGCTCAACGATTGTAAGGGAAAGACCTAGGTTAAGATAGGTGACCTTCAATCGGATCGTCTTAGAGAAAAAGGCCCAGGTTGCCACCCTGAGAATGACTCTTAGGTCAATATTAGGTCCAACGGGGCTTATAGCCTTGAGAACTGTGTGGCATCTTACTTGTTATTTCTTAGTACCCAGAAAATTATTGGTGTTCATGTTTGTAATCTATTTTAAGTGGAAAATGTCATTTATCATATTCTTGAGAGACATGAGTATTTTAATTGTTGAATTGTGGAACCTTCTTTTTTGAAACATATTGTCTTAACCAAACTATATGCCAATCTAGTTCCTGTGATACATATCTTATTTTGAAATTGAACCCTATTTTCAAAATTGTATTTACTATCCATGTTGGTGCTCACTGAGCTATCAGCTGACTTAGTTGTTTATCATATCTAGGTGTTAGAAGGACTTAGAGTGGACTTGTGGCGTAGTGGGGACTCAATTGCATGGACCTCTAGGACATTCATTTATTTTATTTTAGATTGTTATGTTAAGTTGGTGCATATTTATTATTATTTTTTTATTGGGGTTCATTTAAGATTATTTTGATATGTGGGCTGTTTATATCTCATAAGTTTAGATGGTTTTGATTACAGTTAGTTTTGCCGTTTATAATTGTGGCATGTCACTGGATTGAGTTTGGTTATTTATTATTGGACTTTTGTATAGTTGCTCATTGTGATTATGGATTAGTGGTTAGGCTTACGTGTGCCTTGGGATGAGTCCCTGTGGGCCACGACCGGTTATACCCGGATTTGGGGTGTGACAATTAAGAGTGGACTTGTGGCGTAGTGGGGACTCAATTGCATGGACCTCTAGGACATTCATTTATTTTGTTTTAGATTGTTATGTTAAGTTTGTGCGTATTTATTATTATTTTTTTTATAGGGAATCATTTAAGATTATTTTGATATGTGGGTTGTTTATATCTCATAAGTTTAGATGGTTTTGATTACAGTTAGTTTTGCCGTTTATAATTGTGGCATGTCACTGGATTGAGTTTGGTTATTTATTATTGGACTTTTGTTTAGTTATTCAATTTGATTATGGTTTCGTGTTTAGGCTTACGTGTACTATGCACTAAGGCCCTGTGAGCCACGGCCCGTCATACCCAAGTTTGGGGTGTGACAATCCTGTAGAAAACAACTTTTAGATGCTAATGATATGACTTCGCTAAGGTTATAGCTTGGCATGACTCGGAGCTTAAGGCTTCTTTTTGGTTTTGTTTTGATGTAATTATTTGTTTATGCCTCGGGCTTTATTTGTATTGAGTTTAGACTTATTTTTTTGTAACCAAGTATCGTCTTGGAAAGTTCTAAGCCATTAAGGCATTTTTTTATGTGATTTTAATTTCCTTTCTACTTTTGTATCGATGTCATATGCTATAGATTCAAAATCTAAGATTTATAAATATATATTGCGTATGTCATCTTTTGTAATGATCAAAGATAAAATGAATAGAAGATATTAGATTATTGATTAATTGACTTACTGTTATGAGTTGGGCTTTATGTTAATTATTTCGGAGTGTTACATTTTTGATCTGCATGTTGTTTATTTTTTTAATATAATTGTTTTTTATGTTTTCGAAAAAAAAAATGATACATTTGATAAAAGTTTAATAAGACAATAGGACACAAATAAACTACTCCCACATTTGTTGTTTCCATGAAATATAGTGAAAATACCTCACGATATACCTTTCAAATTCAATAGGACTTAATAGTCTATAAGAAAATCGAAAGAACTTTCTGCATTCTCATTTAGAATGAGACTTCTAACAAATTCTCCTTAATTTATTCAAACTTTTTTTGCGACATAATTGATTGAATGTAAAATTTGAACAAGCTTCAACTTTAAAGAAATTATTTATCTAGTGGCAATTCTAACTAATATAGTCAACAATCTTTTATAAACAATCCACACATTTAGCAAATAACCATCCATTATTATTAAATAATTCACCACTTCAATTATTAAAAAAAAAAATAGTGAAATTTCATTTTTAAATTACTAATACAATAAAGTAATATTTGATTCACTAAAATGAAATTGAACCAAATAGAATTATTATTCCTTAGCCTCTCACAATGGTGAACAATAATTTTGTTTATGATATATTTTTTGATACAAAATAGAATTGTTGTTACTTAGCCTCTTACAATGGTGAAAAATAATTTTGTTTATAATATATTTTTTGATCATTTTTTTTTAATGAACTACACGTGAAAATAAACATTATAATGAAATGATTATTTCATTTCAATTTATTGTACCTAACATGAGAACTTTATCATTTGGGAGCACTATTTTTTAGACAGAATTCAGAGGCTAATGCCTTTCTGGCCATACCTCAGGGTTGGCCTTGGTCTGGGTGTTTGCATAGTGCAAGTAATAATGGCTGCACCAAGCTAAACCAAGTATAGTTCATTTAAAAAAAAAAAAAACCAAATAGATATTTATGTGATTGTTTTGTTTTTTTCTCTTTTTTTCTTCCACTTGTAGAAGATATATTACGAATAGGGAAAATTATATTTTATCCCCATGTGAATTGGTCAATATACTGATTATCACTATATCACATTAGACAATTAATCATGAGGGAAACCCCAACACATTCACGAGAATATAAAAATTCAATGATGAAAAGAGAAAATTTCATCAATCCAAACATCCAACTATGAAAAATTGTCTAGCATATATACACCAACATATGACAAACATAACCAAAAAAAAAAAAAAAAAAAAAAAAAAAAAAAAGAAGAAGAAGAAGAAGAAGAAGAAGAAGAAGAAGAAGAAGACACCAAACAAATAAAATGCAAAGACGTACATGTAGTATGAAAGGGTCAAATCCAAAAGCTTCTTAATTAACGAATTAATTTGTCAAAATCTGGATCTGACAGGTACCCATTCGATTCTCCGTCAAGATTTGAAGGAAGATCATCATCACTATTTGATGGAAAAGGGCTCACCCCACCAATTGTCATGCAACCATCAATAGAGAAAACGCTACAACAAGAAAGGTCAATCACAGGTAACTCAGCACCAATCTCACAATGATTCTCCCAAGCCTCCTGTAGTAGTAATGCAGATTGAAGGCTCCTTACCACAATGTCTATTGAGGGTCGCCAGTTGGCCTGATCAATTAGACAACTTAATGCAATATTAACAAATTCCTTCAAGCATTTTGGTGCTATTTTCCCTATCAGATTTGGATCAATGACTTGATCAACGGTTTCGATACCATTCATGAACCGACGTACTAATGACATACCCCAGCCTTCCACATTATCATATGGCTCCTTAGCACATAATACTGACAGCAATACCATACCAAATGAATATACATCAGATTTTGCTGTCAAGTTTCCATCCATGGAGTACTCTGGTGCCATATATCCAATACTATACTGATAATCTAATGTTTTATTGTACAATGATTTGGAATACCCGCAATGAAAAAGTTTTGCAACCCAATTCCTGTCCAGCAGAATATTAGCTGGATTTATGTCATGGTGGATGACTATTTGCTCCGCACTCTCATGGAGATGTTGTAGTCCTCGTGCTGCACCAAGGCAAATCTTGAGTCGTTCTTTCCACAGAAGTGAGTCGTTGTTTGTGATAAATAAATGATCTTCTAAGGACCCGTTCTCCATGTAATCATACACGCCAATTAACTCTGGTTTCTCATTGCAAAATCCAATCAAAGAGACTATGTGGGGGTGATTCTTGAGCAAGGAGTGTACCTCAATATTGGCCCTAATCTCTTCCCAATTACAGAGTGAGAACGAGTTATTGAACCTGTTGATCATAACAATACTAGTTTCCCCATCCATATAACCTCTGTACACCTTCTTACAACTATCATTTTTTATCAACAGTCCCCCATTGAAATCATTTGTAGCCGCTCGAATCTGGGCAAGTGAAAAATGATGGAGTGGTCGGGTAACACCAGTCGAAAGTGGTTCCCAAAACAAATCCTTCGACGGTCCACTCTTTGAACCGTTGTCCTGTCTCTTCCCCCACCACTGATTCATACCTTTTGGCACAATTGCAATACCCTTAAACATCTTTCCAATCATTCCTTCCGACCTTCTTTTACGTTGTGACACCAATGCAAGATCAAGAGCCCTCACCACTTCACCCATTGTAGGCCTTTTCTTTGGACTAGTATGTAAACAATTGTAGGCAACTTGTACAAAGTACTTTAGACACTGTGGTGTTATTTGTCCACTCAATGAGGGATCAATTATTCGATCAAACTTTCCTTTTTTGATGTGTTGTTTAGCCGAAAGGATTAAACTAATGTCCTCCTCCTCGAGTCTTGTATTCACCGGCGGCCTCCCGCAGAGAACTTCCAACAACACCACACCGAAGGCATACACATCAGATTTCTTGGTTACTCTCTGGGTATAGAAATAAACTGGATCAAAATACCCAAATGTACCTTTGACTTTTGTGCTAACATGGGTTGCTGAATTGCTTGTATTGCCTTTGGACAGCCCAAAATCTGAAATCTTTGCCACCCAATTTTCATCCAACAGAATATTTGTCGTCTTCACATCTCGGTGTATGAAACTCTGATCGGTACCGGTATGAAGGTAGTCTAACCCTTCTGCTGCACCGATGCAAATGTTAAGCCTTTGCTCCCATGTTAGATGAAAAGTACTACTTTCAGTTTGGTTTCTACTTGTTTTATAGAGATGATCGGCCAGGGTCCCACGAGCCATGTATTGGTAAACAAGGATCATTTCTTGGCAGTCGCTGCATTGGCCGATCAGAGCAACAAGATGAGTGTGTCGGAGCTTAGACAACATCTTGACCTCAGTCCAGAACTCCTCTGCGCCTTGTTTGGACTCTGCTTTCAACCTCTTTATGGCAACAGCTGTAGCACCGTTGTCGATGAACCCCTTGTATACCTTACCAAATCCGCCACTCCCAATAACTAATTCTTCATTAAAATTGTCGGTGATTGATTGTATCTCCGCTAGTGAAAAGCGACGGCATGATTCAATCACAACGCTTGAAATTGCATCATCAGCACTTAAACCAGACATATCTCAGATTTTACATAATTGAATTTTGCCCTATGCCTATGATTTCTTCTCTTTCAGCAAAAATCTGAAATTTCAACAAATTTGAGAAATATTGTTTCAATTTCAATTTCAATTTCAGCAAAAATCTGAAGTTTCAATTTCAATTTGAGAAATTTCAACAAATCTGAAATTTCAATTTCAATTTGAGAAATTTCAACAAATTTGTTTCAATTTCAGTAAAATCTGATTTCTTCTCTTTCAACAATTTGCCTAACTTATATAGTCAATTTCAGCAACATACAAAATCTGTATATATATATACACCAATTATGTAGGAATTTCAGCAAGATACAAAATCAATTTCAGCAGGCATCAAATTAATGCCCTTTTATTGAACATTGCCTTAATTTCAGCAAGATACATATATATATATATATACACACCAGATTACCTCGTCGTCAATGGGATGGAAATAGAGGGAGTCGGGACTCGGGAGGACAGAGTTGGGCGTCAGGAGGACCTGTCGTCGGGGTGAAGGGGAGGAGTCGTCCGTCGAATGAGATGGAAAGAGAGAGAGAGTCGAGAGTCGGGCATCGGGCGTCGGAGTCAAGGACGTCGGAGTGAAACGGAGGAGCTGAGGGAGTCGGCCGTCGGAGTTGGGAGTTGAGGAGCTGTCGTCCGAGTGAAGGGGAGGAGCGGAGCTGTCTGCCTCTCGTCTCTCTTGTCATGGAGCTGTATTTTCCAGTTTCAATTCTGATAGAGGAGAGCGTGGCCACTGTATATCACGGACCGATCACGTGCCTGTCTCAGATAGGGTCGTGGGGGTAGGTTTATTAGGGGTCCTTAGGGGCTCACTCTGTAACTCTCTTTGTTTTTGATTCGTCAATCTTCTTCTTTCTTTTTTTTTTTTTTTCCTTCATTCGAACTTAATTTTATGAAGGAGGGCCTTTTTTAGTCCTCAATTTGTAAGCATTTGATTTGTCCTTTTAGGAGGTTCAAGCAATGTGGTCTCTAATCTCTTTGTTATGAATGTGGGACATGCTAATATATAGGTTGAGCTTCTTTCTTGCAGAAGACCTTGATTTATTTGTACATTTTTTAACTTCTGTAGTTTATTTAAAAATAATACATCTTTATATGCCAATTACAGAGTATTCATTTTGACTGAAAACATAGGTTGACTACATCAGATAATCTTCTTATCACAATTCAAGAGAAGATAAAATGGGCGGATACCATGAGTGAGTTGGACAAGAAGCACAGAAAGGAAGTGGAAGAGAGGGTTGATGAAATAAAGAAGTCACTCTCCTTGAAGGTCAGGTGAATCTGGTTTTTTCTTCCATGTTACTGTTCCCTTTATTTTATTTTATTTTTTATTTTTTTATTTTTTTATTTTTTTCCAATAAATAACAGTCAGTATATAGAGTGCATGCTTCCCTTCTGGTTGTTGTATGTCTTATGGGATGCAACTCTTATATTTTGTCTATTAAAGTATTCAAAGGTATTCAAATTTTCTCAATTCAAGTAATAACAAAACAAGACAGTCATAAGGGAAAACATTGGCCTCATTACAAAGTGATAGAGCATGTACCCTCTTTCCCAATTTCAACATGCCCTTGTTTGTTTCTCACATCCTGTCAAATTTGGAAGCTTGAACGTATATATCCTTTAATGATGAGGGTAGAGGTGTGGAAAAAACTTGACTGATGACTTTAGAAACCGAGGAAGATGGTTTGGTGAATGCAGAACTTCATGAAAATTTCTTTGAACACATGGTGGCCAAACAGACATTCTGATTTATTATTTCAATATATGTGAAAGATAACTTTTGATAAATAGTGATAATTTTTAAACTTTTTAAGTAATTTTTTAATTTTTTAACTTTCTTTTAATTTACCATTTAATTTTTTAACTTTCTTTTAATTTACCAAACTTGACCTTAGTACATTCGAAATTATACAAGTGATTAGAAAGTCGGTTCAAACGGAAAATAATAAAACCAAATGGAATTATACAAGTCATTAGAAAGTTCGTTCTTTTAAAAGGACAAAAAAAAATATTTAAAATGTATATGTTATAATAATTTGAGTTTAAAATGTATGCAAGAGAGGCGTGGGAGAGAGTTTAAAATAAGGAGTTGTTTGGGGTGTTTTAAATAAGTATACTTGTTATTTTTTTGGACTAAAAAATTGAGGAAGAAAATAAAGATGTTTGGTTTAACTTTTTGACTTTTTATAAAAAAATGTGTAATGAAAAATTGTAAAAATTGATTTGTAGGAGAAAATTAGAATTGAGAGTTGTGCAACCGTAATTGTTGACTTTTGGTGAATAGTGTTAACTTTTTAACTTTTTAAGTAATTTTTTGACTTTTTGACTTTTCTTGGACATGCCAAACTTGGCCTAATTTTACCGTGCAATCCTTGTGTCAGAAAAAATAAGAGAGGTGTGGCAGAGAGGGTGGGGGAGAGTGAGGTATACATATTATAGTAATAATAATGATAGAGAGTTTTAATTTTAGAATTTTAAAAAGAGTTCTACTGATGTGATAAGAGAAAAAAAAATATAGGCACACACATCACATCACATGTGGGTCTCACTCATTGTCACATCACTAAAGTTCTCTTTAAAATTTTAAAATTAAAATTCTCAATCTTTATTCTTATAATAATTTTACCGTGCTGCACAACGTATACTATAGATTGAGAGAGTTGGGAGAGAGTGATAATAATAATAATAATAACAATAGTAATAATAATAAGAAAATGAGTTAATTGGACAATTGATGGGCAATCCATGTGGGTTCTGTCCCACGCCTAGAAGTGTAAAACTAGAAGTGTAAAAATGACTCGCGGCTCGTGGGCAGCCTCGTGGTGGGCCTAGCCCGAGTTCCAGGGCTAGGGCCTGGGCTCGGGCCATCATTTTGAAGCCTGTCCCAGCCTATGGCCCAGTCCACCGGCCTGCTTAAGGCCCACTGAAGGCCCGATTCGAGGTCCGGCCCGCCTGAGGCCTAGTGTTTTTTTTAGTGAAAAATAATAAAATTTTGGTAGGAAAAGAAAAAAACAAAAGAAAATAGTCAGGCCCGCCCAAGCTCGACCTAATCCCGAGGCTAGGCCTAGGCCTACCAAGCCGGCCCGCCCAGGACCCGAATACCCCTGGGCTTGGGACTAGGCCTGAGCCTAATTAATTTTTTTGCCCGTGACCCGGCTCATCCCGAATTTTGACGAAAGCTCGCAAGGCCCGACATGGGCCGGCCTGAGCGAGATTTACATCCTTACCCACGGCACAATACCCTAAAAAAGTATATTTTATTATATATAAAAAAGTATATTTTATTTTATATATATACATATATATTTTTTGGGACACACATATCTATGTGTGCGTAGATATTCAAATCAAATTATAAAATCTATTTATATTTTAATCTCAATTTTATTTTATTTTATTTTTTTATAATAAATTTGATAAATTATATTTAAATCTATAACAAAATGAGTGTATGAGTGGTGTGCTTGTGTGATAGAAAAGAGAAAGAGAGAATGTGAGTGTGGTGTGCGTGTGTCAGTGAGGGAGAGAGAGAGAGAGAGAGTGTGTCAGAGGAAATTTTGGGCTGTGTTTGGTCAGGTGTTTTAAATATATTTTCATCTACAACTCTGAGTGTGGTATTTATTTTGAGCTTTTAAATTATAATTTCATACTCACTTTTAAAAAATCCTTTCTAGACGGGAAAATTTGGCTAACCCGGTCATCCTCCTAGACATCTCGGCCAATTGACCGGAACAGTATTTGGCCTTTTTTTTTTTTTTGCACCTGTTATTTTTATATTGTAAATAAAAAATATTTTTGATTTGTTTTTAATTTTTATATGAGTTTTGGATTGTGTGTTTGGTTATAAGTTGTAAGTTTTTGAATCAAATAACTTTTCTAATTTAAAAAAAACTCCTTCCAAAACTTTTTTCAAAACTCATAACTAAACAAATTTTTTACACTCAAATCATAATTCTAAAACTCATAAACTCAAAATACAATTTTATTTTTACAAATCATATTTAAAAAATTCTATCAAACGCTCCCATGATGTTCCCTTTAAGCTAATTTGATTGGGGAATTCCCAGTGCATAACTTTTTAACCCAGGGGACACACCACTTTTTTGTGTGCATGGGTGGGTGAATAGATATATGTGTGACTGGATGTATACACAAAATAAAATATATTTCTGTGTGTTGTTGTGGCATGGGATATAACTATTTTTGTGTGTGCATGATATATGTGTATTGGTGGATGTATATAAATAAAATAAAATATATTTTTGTGCGGTATTGTGCCGAATGGTTGGTGTAGCTTGCTTTTCGTACTCTTTTCAGATACGATTAGCCTTACAGTTCGGACTCCTGTGGTTCTGAATCTGATTTCACAAGTACAATGTGAAATAGATAAACACAAATGAGTCCAAATCCGACAAATCTTTTGAAAAATGAATTTTGAATCAAAATGTCAAAAATGGACTGCTTTGCCAGATTACAGAATCGCCATCTAATATTTTTGAAAAATTTAAGAAACCCGAGACTCGTGCCAAAGGCCACTTATTCGTCATCACCAAAGTGTTTCGGCTCGGGAACTTAGGTATGAAAAGGAAAGGTCATTGATTGAGCACCCCACTCACTTGATCAAAGATTGGCCTCTGCTAATCATGATGTGATTTTTATAAACAATATATGCTCTTGTTCCGATTGTTAGGCTATTTTTACTATGTGATGCATACAAGTATTGACTAATTCACCCAATTTGGAACGTTTTGATTTCATGTTTGTTTTGAAAAGAGTTTTGGATATGTACCACTTGAAAAATGATCTCATATGTACATTTATCAATTTATACCAACTTAAGGAAATAGCCTTCATCTATAGACATTTGAACAGGCATATCAACTAAGCATTTAGCCTCATGATAATCATGCTTATCATGGCAATAACCGCATGCATGCAATATGCTAAAGCAATAAGTGCTCACGTAGTACTCAACCGAGATAAGCCAAAAGAAACCAAATTGTTAGAAAAATGCATGTTCTAATATGTAAGTGCCTAATGCCATACATGCAAAAATGCAACTAATAGATTCGGTTGTCAATATGCCATGTGAATAAATTTGACAGCATGCGGTAGCGCACGTATTTAATGAAGTAATAAATGACAATGCTGTTCAGAATGATGAACCAAACCCTATGCATACGAAACGAATAGATGCGAATCATGGACAATGCTAAAGGAAACATAATGCTCTATGTTATCCATCATAAGCAAGTAAATAAAAGGGAGAAAGAAACGGGGATTGGAAGACATACACACATTATCACATATTTGCCATTGCACAAGAGGGTTCGAATAATGTACTAGATAAGCTAATTATTAGAACGCCAAAATAACTAGTTACACTAACTAATTATTACAAATCCAAGTAAAACTAATTAATTAGTTACAACACAGAAATAATTAACTAAGTAATTAATTATTACAAGTTCAAAAGATTTACACTTGATCAATTACAACACATTACTATTAGCATAAATTAACGGGCCACGGGGAACAAAGAACTGTTCATGCATGAATGCGAAGTTCCACCCGAAAATGTCCTTTGTTTTGTTGCCAAAATGTTTCTATTTGTAGTTAGCAAATTGAACTGTTTTCACTCTAGCTTTAGCTCTGTTTTGCAAGGAAAAAGACACTGCCTGGTTGAAAAGAGGTGGCTGCTCGGCCAGAAGAAGTGGTTGGTCGTACAATGAGGTGGCCGGCTAACCACTAGTTTTTGTTACTCCCCCGCTGCAACAGACATAAAACAGAGCACGAATAGAGTTTTTTCAAGGGATGT